TTCTTTCTCTCTGTCTCCCCTTCTTGACATCAGTGACCTAAGGGTCTTGGTATGAAAGCCTCCAGAAGTCTCCAGCCTACTGTCTCACCTACGGCTCCTAGGACATAAGCTTGCAAAAAGCCTCCAGCCTGCTGCTGACTGATGGATCTTGGGATGTAAGTCTGCAGAAGTCTCTGGCTGCCGCCTGACCTATGGATTTTGGACTTTCTAGTTCCCACAATTGTGTGAGCCAATCCCTTGAAGCAAATCTCTCTCTATATATATATGTATCTGTCTTACTGATTCTGTTCCTCTGGGAACCCTGACTAAGACAACCACACAGATGTTTTCTCATTTCCCTTCTCCACAACAATGCTGGGGCTCACATGAGAGACTGAACAGGAGCTCTGCGAACCAAAAAGGTACTGGCTGCATCTGTAAGGCTGGATATCATCGCTCTCCTTTCCCCTTCCCAGTATCTCCTTTCTGGAGCCCTGTATCACTGTCATCAAAGCCAGGTGAGAGAGGCTGTACTTGCAGCACAACCCGAATAATCCATAGCAACTAGTTCTCACCCACCCTACTGGGAACACTTTGGAGTACGGCACGCAGGTCCTGCTGGGAACGCCCTCAGCCTTGGCTCTGAAACAACCATGAGATGTTGAAAATCTCTCAAAGCAATTCATATTTATTTTTTTAAAAACCAAACAGCACCCGTCCCCCCACCAAAAAAGCACTGACTCATGCATGCCAGATTGCACTTTTCAGAGGAAGGGTGTCAGCAGACGTAAATGAACAATGACAGAATCCCGTGACACCAAAACGATTCAAACCCGACGCTTTTAGAGGCTGACACTCAGAGCTGAAATAGCCACAGGTCAGGATTTGCCTGATTTGGGCCTCTACTTCCTTTGTAGTCTGTTTGTGTGGTGGCAGGAGAAGTGAGAATCTTTCCAGTCACCAGTCAGGCAGGCTTCTCCTATTAGAGAAAAATTATTAGAATCCAGCCCTGACTTAGAGGTCAGTGAGCTATATTAAGAATCATATCCTGCCCCTTCAAAGTCTAGACCATGTATTTGTAGCTCTGGCTTATCTCAGGGGTTCTGGAACTCAGGGACCAGAGAGTGTTTAGTCCTTACATGGTTGGGTTCACTGTGACTCATACACAAACCTTTTTCACTGAAATTAGCAGGCATAATTTGACAGACACTTAGAAAGGGTTACCCCCAGTGACATGATGGTTGAAGGCTAGATCTGGAAGCACATTAAAGTTCTTGGGCTTCAGGAAGCACAGGTTGAAGTTGAAAGTGGGACACGCAGAAGTGAGGGTGTTAGAAGTATTATTTAAAACGAGGAGACTGATTCCTGGCAGAGAACAAGAGTCTGCTTTGCCAGTCCCTGGGCTTGTCTCTTTATTTGCACGGACTCCAGATTTTTCCTATCATGGATGTCTGCAGTTGGCTCTCAGGATAGAAAGTTATGGCGCTCTATGGACTGGTCCTCTCTGGCAAGACCATGAAGAGATAAGAGGAAAAATATGTTCTGGCAATTCCACCTCATTCAAAAGGTAAGTATTTATCCTTAAATCTCAAAAGAGAAACAGCTACAGAGGCAGTCTGGAGCAATCACTGTTACCTTTCCGACATCCGTGTTGATGACATCAAGCAACAGATGCAAAAGAAATAATTAAAAATAAATGAGAAAGAGTTTTCCATGATTCACCAAAGTAGTAGGAATATTCTGTTAGTCAGGAAAGCTTAGAACCATTTATCAGCTGCTACCTAAAGTTTAGCATTTAACTTTAATTACGTCTGGTTAGCAATCAAGCAGAACACAAAGTGTTTCAACACGACCAGCTGCTACAAATCCAAACTATTTCATAGTTTGAATTTTTATTTAACCTTTTGTTTTTTGTTCACACGATGCACCCCATTCTTAGCAGACTAAATACTATGAAAACTAAAACGTTAATGAGGTGAGCCAGTCAATCTGTCTGCCCCAAACCCCTTAACACACCTAGGCATAAAGCATGCTAATATAGTCCATAAGCCAGTTTCCTCTGTGAAGATCCAGGCTAGACTCTTTTTCCTCTTACACTGCGCTCCTGTGGAGGCAGAAACAGAATCCTTTTGTGACAGTGGAGTTATGGTTACATTTTTCCTTTCATTATCATCAAGGTAACTGTCTAATGATGGACCAGAATAAAGTGGCCTCATGTTAATTCTTACCTAATTACCCTTTCCCAAAACGAGAGCTGAGATTAACTGTATGGTCAACTTACATGGAGGGAAACCAGCCTCCATTATCTGCCCTTCATCAATGAGCATCAAAATCTGTTCTTCACAACATCTTGGAGACATGGGCCTGCTCATTTGAAGCTTACATTCTTATGTAAGGAGGAATCATGATGGCACATGATCAATGAATAGATCAACGGCAGCGAGGGTAGAACGTAGTACAGACTCTAAACAGATGATCAGGTATTACATGGATTAGTCAATTTCCCATATTAAAAGAAATAAATGATTTAAGGAACGAAATAAACAAAAATTCCTACCCAACTCTCTCATTGGGTCAATAATCATTTTGGAAATTCAATTTAAAAATCAGTAAGTCAACCAACTTGACCTGTCTAACTGAAATGACTAACAGCAAAAATGGTTAAGGAACAGTCTAGTAACTGTGAATAAGACACAGTCTGAATCTCTGCACTAACTCGGATCCGATTCAGTCACTCACTGCTATGGCTGGGCAAAGATCCAAGTGAAAATTTAACAGTGGCTGAAAAAAGGAGCATAGGGTGACAGCCTCTAAAAACCACAACTTGTCCCTAAACCGGAAACCTGTCTATAAGCCTCCTTAAATCCATCAGTACAACCACCACGTTTTAAAGCAGCCCACTCTCCCCAAACCTGAATCGGCCCGCAGCAGACAGACACGCCAACTTGAATGACTCTGCTCTGCGTCACTCTTTAGGTTGCCAAATTTAGACAAAAACACATCTATTCACTTTCCCAGAGCTTTCTAGAATGTCTAGTGTCATAGATGGTCTATATCCTTTCACTCAGGCCAGTTCCTGTAACCTCACAGTCGATGCAGAATGCAGAAACAAACCATGCCAACCTCAGCCACAGGCTCGTGTCTGACCAAGGAGACCTCTCGCTAGAAACACAACACAGAAATCCGGTGCGCGTCAGATGTTTGGGGTGGCAGTTCTTTTAATAGTTTGCTTAGAAGAGCAGGTCTTCCACACTGATAACAACTGGCAAAACCACCTCAACACATGCTCTGCCCAGATAGTGCAGGAGACGCTCAAACAACTTCGTCAACAAGTGAAGGGAATTCAGCAGGAGACAGAGGGATCTAAAGGAGTTGTGAATTACACTGCCTTCTGTCAGCCAGGAGAAGAGGAGATAATTAAGGTTTTAAATAGTTCAGTTTCTCAGTCACCAAAGTACCAGGATGTCCCCCCTTCAAAGGGGCTGAGGCCTCAGTTTGGGGTCTTCCCTGCCATCTGGCCCTTGTGCTTGGGAGGCTGCAGTCACACCTGAACCCTTATGATGCTTCTGTAATAAACGTTCATTCTCATTTTTCACAGCCTTGCTGTGGCAATCAAGGATACTTCTGGCTAACAGGTAAATACGTCCATGGCATTTTCCTTCTCTCTTCTTGTCTACCATGCTGCTCAAAAAGCAACAGAAGAACCTCCTTCCAGTCTATGGAGTTCGCAGACTAAATTCTAGAATAACGAAAATGAGAATGGTTCATTCTGAGAACTATGTTTTGGAAAGCAAATGCTCTACTTTAAAGGACACACTTTTAGGATAGAATTTGGGCATACTTTTGTTTAGAGGAAGGAGCCCTGGTGGCGCAGTGGTTAAGAGCTCAGCTGCTAACCAAAAGGTCTGCAGTTCGAATCCACCAGCCGCTCCTTGGAAACCATGCATGGCAGTTCTACTCTGTCTTGCAGGGTCATGATGAGTCGGAAACCACTCAACAGCAACGTGTTTTTTTGTTTGTTTTTTGTTTTGAGGGTGGGGGAAAAAAAAGCAGCAGTAAGTTAGTTACTGTCCCTTCTCCACCCTTCTAAGACATCTGGCCAGCAATTAAAGATTTACATTTTCACAGAAAAAAAGGCTGCTGAAGTGAGTGAGGATAATGGAAAAAAGGGGACGGGGAGGGGTGGATAATCACTGGTTTCTGGATTTTCAGATAAGGTAGAGCTTTCTTCTTATAACTGAAGTTCGCTCAGAATCTGGAAAACAGCCTTAGATTTAAACTGGAAGAGGGAAAAATGTGGCACATTAAGGTGGCAGATAGCTGGAAAGAGGGGAAGCTTTGAAACTAGTTAGGTTTACCTGATAGTGATCACATCTATAAGGAAGACGGTTCATTAAACCGCATGCAGGTAGGCTGATCCATGGAATACCAGTAAGTTTGGGAGCCACAATTCTTGTGCTGATTCTACCTTTGACATTCTGGGTCAGTTAGGGGCAAAGAAGCTGCCTTCTCTTCTTTGGGGATGGGAGAGGAAAGAGGAAGGGGAGGCAAACAATTAAGCTGAAAACCGATGCCTTAAAAGGCTATTTGGTAAAGTAGTGAGATGGCTGTAAAATGCTTTGTATGCCCGGGAAACAAATCAGAGGCAAAAGAACAACAATTAAAAACCAAACCAAACACCCCACATCAGAGAACTGAAGGGAAGAGGAATGAATCACTGGAAAGTAGTGACACCAGTTTTCCAGGGGACCAGAGCTTCCTGGTGCTTCCTCCAGCCCACAGTCTGCTATGAGCCCTCTCACCTAGAACGGGCCCACAGAAGGACCTGCTGGGGCAAGAGACCTAGCTTCCTTTCCTACACACCTACCACCATGTCTCAAATTACACCTCTCTGAGGGAGACTAGAAGTGAGGAGAGGTCAAGAGATACTTTTTGGTATACCTTCTATCTTGCGAGAAAGGGATTTAAGCCAATAGAGGAATACATAGCTTGAAGTACATCTGGCGATAATAACAAAGATACATTGACCTATAAAAACTCATTTAATGTATATTGCAGGATGGCCAATACAAGCTGGTTAGGTAATCAGCCCTTGAAGAGTTTTTACAGTCATATAAAAATGTTTTGCCTGTTAAAAAAAGAAGTCTAGTCTAACAAAACATATCCACTGATGGGCTAGTACTTTTTTTTTCTTCCATTTGCAGGTTTGCAAAATAATTCAAAATACACGTATATGCATTTCTGAGTACACTGCTGTCCATTAGCTAATCAGTTTTGGCAGCACGCTGCACAGAGGTATACCACCATTGGCTTCCGACATTAGGTTAGCTTTAAGCTTGCTGGCTATTCCAACAACTGGAGGCAGTTTGGAACCAAGTCCCTGGAAAGCATTTGTAGGATGTACCACCCGTTTCCCTGCCACCTTTCCTGTGGTCAGAGGTCTGGGCACAGACTTGCTGATCCAAGGGTGTCTTAATGCTTGAGCTGGGGTCAGGCGGGCAGAGGGATCCCAATGAAGACACCTCTTCAAAAACTCTACAAACAAGTAGTCATCACACCCTTTCAGTGCTGTTACCCAGTCTTTGCTGCCTGGGGGACCCCGCTTTTTACCCCTACGTGAGCGGCCTCCCACAAGCACAACCCTCCCATCGGCCTGAGTGGTCACAGAGCAATAGCGAGGTAGGCCCTTGGAATTAATAAAGTACTTGGCACGTTTGGATTGCTCCAGAAGTTTTGGTGGCGGCATCCCGAGAAGCTCCATCATGCAGGCCAACTGGTCTCCCTCATCCTCTCCGGGGAAGAGAGGCTGTCCTGTCAAAAGTTCTGCAAGGATGCAGCCGAAACTCCAGATGTCAATGGGCGTGCTATAGCGGCTTCCTAAGATGATCTCTGGAGCTCTGTAGAACCGAGACTGGATATACGTGTAAAGCTTTTGGTACTCGAAGCAGCTGGACCCAAAGTCAATGACCTTGGTTGCACTGCGCCCGTGGTGTTTCAGGAGAATGTTTTCTGGCTTCAGGTCGCAGTGAATGATCTTATTTTTGTGGAGAGCATCCAGGGACTGCAGGATGGACTGGGCAAACTTGCGCACTAACTGGACGCTGAAACCCTGAAACTTGTTTTTTTTAATTAGCTCATAAAGGTCTATGCTCAACAATTCAAAGGCAATGCAAACATGGTTCCGGAACGTGAAACTTTCCAGCATGTGGATAACATTCATGCTACCAGTTTTATCTTGTTTTTTGAGATGCTCCAAAATCCGGATCTCCTCTGCTGCTTGACGACGGAAGCGCTTCTCACTGCGCACCACCTTCAGGGCCACATACTGCCCAAGCTTGTGATCGTAGACCCGGGCTACCTGCCCAAAACTCCCCTTGCCAATAATTTTCAGCACCTCGTATCGATAAGCTAGGTGGTCTCGAAGTACATGAATATAGGCCCCGTCTGCATCATCATACCCCCCATTATTGGGACCACCAATAACTCCGTGTCTTTTCTTGGCATTTGGACCCACAAAATAAATTTCTGGATAATTGACGATTTCCAGCTTCTCATAAGCAGTGAGGTGGTGTTTATATTGCTTCAGGGCTTGTTCTGGAGTCAAAGGCACCATTCTGGGTGCTTTGGAGGAACTGCTGGACTTTGCCATGTTCAAGCTATCTGAACTTCTGCCCTGAGAGACGGTAGGAGAGCATTTTTCTGAGTTGGTGATGCCAGCTGACTGAAAAGTATCGGGTCTGCTGTTGCTGAATTCTTGAAACAGCTGCTCTACCTTCATCTCACCTCCATTCAGAAAGTGCTGAGTATGCTCGCTCGTCAGCTGCTCGGTGGTAACCTATGAAAGAGAAAAATGAAGATAATGTTGAAGCCAGTAAAAAGACTGGAAGATGAAAGGATCCTCCCCCCACCTGAACAACAATGACAACAAAACAAACAGGTCCAGTCATGTTTAAGGTCACAATGTTCCAAAAGGGAGATAAGAAAAGCGGGGGTCTCTAGAGCCTTGGGTTATACTAATCGTCAGACTCCCTGAATATTTTGGCCACCCTAGCACCCCATCTATCCCTTGCTTTGTTCAAGACCCCAGACATGCTAGGTTCCTTCTTACAGGTATGTCTTTGCATTGAGAATGCTTTCACACCCATTCCCTCAACTCCTCCCTTCCTTCGAGGCCCAATCCAAGGCCTCTCTCTTCCACTCAGGACTACTCCAAGCCCGTGCTAATTAGCCTCACATCTTAACTGCAGCTCTTAAGAGTCTGTACCACACAGTTTGGCACTTGATGATATACTGTCTATACTGCTTATTAATCGCTTCAAGTATCTTCCCAAATCTTAAAGGCATGTAACAGGCTTGAAATAAGGCATATTCAAGTGTTCTGCAAACGACAAGAGTACAATTAAGTGGCAGAGGCAGGATTTGAAACCAGGTCTTCTGACTCCCAGTCCAGGGTCCTTCCCATTAACGTACCTCAGCCCTAGGTTCTCCTAGTCCTGTACTTCCCTCTAGTAGGGATGACTCGCTAATCACAGCCTGGAATCAGCCGAGGCCTCGCTGTCTACTCCCAGGTCCCCATATGAATTACTGCAGCCTTCTAGTTTAGCTCTAAGCCAGAGGGAACTCTGGGGATCAGCTAAGCCAACTGTTCACGTATCTGCTGAGTAACGGGGAGCTGGGAGAGGAAGGCAGTAAGGAGCTGGGGTGAGTGAGAATCTCAGGTCCCTGGGTGCTTCTTATATGACTGTCAACTAAAGAGGCAGAGTTTCTTGCAAGCCCACATGATAAAGGCATATCACCCCTTTTTATTCTCTTTTGCTTAACATTTTCCTGGAACAGTAACCCCCAAAATAAAGCTCTACTTATTCCTCTGAATTGAAATAAGATTCCTTGAAGTAATATGTAGGAAAAGAAAAGCAAAAGTAGATGACACTTTAAAAAAAAAAAAAAATTAAGAAAAATGTAAGAAGGGGTTAGAAAGAAAAAAAATAAATCTTTTGTGAAAAAAAGTCTCGGATACTTCAAAGAACATCAATTTTTCTCAACTGACCCTGAAGAATTGTACCCCTCCCTGGTGCGTTTGATAATTTCAGAGTGTCTACGATCAGGGATAAATAATTCCAGAGGAGCTCCAAGCTACAGTTATAATCTCTAAGAATGTGAAAAAAATCAAAAGGTAATGATCCCAAGTGGCCAAACCTTTAGGAAAAAAAAATTTAATATAACCTAAGCAAACAATAATACCTGGCCTACTTAAAAAAACATAGAAAACGTAATATAAAAAACAAAAACATAAACAACAGAAAAAGGATGAAAAACACTTAAGTGCTGACATAGCTCACACCGTCCCTAATCTAGTTGTGAAGCGGCCAGTACAACGGTAGCCATATGCTGGCACTTAGTTTGAAAATACAGAGGTGAAATGTGGACCAGAGATAATCTCTGATACTCAGATAGAGAACCATCACTGCTCAAGAAAATAAATGGGCCTGCAGACAGAACCTAAATACTTTGCTACAATGCAAACCACCCAACATTTTTCTCATCAATAATTAGGTCAAATAACTATTTCTGTTTTTAGGGATGACAAAATAGAAGCAGACCATATTCATCCATCCACCCATCCAACATCCATGTGAACACTTACTGTTCACTATTACAAGTGCTAAAAAACAGGTGTTCTCAGGGAACTGCAATCTATTAGGAAATCAACTTGGCTGAACTAGGAAAGAACTATAATCATTTGGCTCTAGTTAGATTTACATAACAAAAATAAATATCTGCATACAGTCTCAGCCAGTTTTCCTTAAAATATTTACTACTTAACTCTAATGCTTCTGTATATTTACTACTGGAGTCTTTGGGACACATCCTAGAGAAATATGAAGTCAAAAGGCCTGGGTTAGGGTCCTTAAAAGCTGTGAGGTCCCTGGGCAGGTTACTTGAGCTTTCCTAATCTCAATTTCTTTATCTGTAAAATGTGGATGATAATATCTACTAGCAAGATGTGTAAATCAAATTCTAATTAATAAAATGTATGAAAGACCCTTAGAAACGATGAGGCATTGTAAAAACAGTGGTCACAATTAGGCAAGATTCTCAATATATCTAGGTTTAAACTCTTACACACCCTCCACCAGGCATCTGGCATTATGTATGCCTTCTGCTCAGTGAAGGTCCCCACAACAGGCCTTCCCCTTCAGATGCATGGATACTCCTCACCCACTCTCCCCGACGTAAAACCTACTTTGAACTAGCTATACAATTGAATGTGTTACCTCTCCAGGGTTATTTGAACTTTAACAGAAGATCAATGCCTTAACCCAAAGGAATGACTCTAGGAACTTCAGTCATCAATGACAAGCTGGTAGGAAAGGTATCTTGGTCCAGGGTCCATCCCTGGGTATTTCACCTACTCTGCCTACATGTAAGGCTGTGCTGGCTCTGGAGGTCTTCATTTCTGTTTGCGATAAAGAGAGGATCTCAGGTACAGAACATTAATAAGAACAGATACATAACAGAAATTTAATTTCCACAGAACTATTACAATAAGATTAAGCATGGCTTTTGGATTTCTTGACTCATGGTTTTCCCTTTAAGTGGGCCTAAATCTCTTTTCCTGCAAATTAATTCTTACTGTGCCCTCTGGAACCACAAGAAGTATACAAATTTCATGCAAGAGCCGTTCAGATACCTAAAAAGGACCACGGTACTCCCTACCCCACCGTTCTTCTCTAGGTTCATCATCCCCATTGTGTCTTCTCTACCTTCCGTGACACGTGTTCAGGTCCTCTTGCTATCCTGCTCACATTTTCAACAGAGGCTGCACTTTATTTCTGTCTCTTTTGAAGTGTGGCTCCCAGAACAGAACACAGTAAAACTTCAGTCTAGTCCACTATGGAGTATCAATATTTGACTCTCCAGTTTATCTAGAGAATTCAGGAAGGAATTTTTCCAAACTGGAAGGAGTTTTCACCTTAGCTTTCTTTCCTGTAAATAACTCAAATACTGGCCTAAATCAATTATGTATCAAGCCCGCTGTGCTATAAATAAAACCTTCCTTCCATTGTTCTAGAATCTACAATATTCACAGGTTGAAGTACAATAGTTATAAAAACACAATATATTTCTAGTCTAGGTTAAAAATCACAACAACCAACCAATGTATATGATCAACTATATCAAATATTTTGCTAACTATGTATTTATTTCCAGAGAGACAGAAAATGCTGGATTCATCATGTTTTAGTTCTTAAAAATGCTTCAATATACTGTTAATGAAGTTGGTGGACTCATGACATTTCAATAGAATCTTCTACTGTTTTAATCAAGTCTTAAAGAGCTTTTTAAAAAAAAATATTTATTTTGTTGTTGAGAATATATACTGCAAAACATACACAAATTCAACAGTTTCTACATGTACAGTTCAGTGACACTGATTACATTCTTCGAGTTGGGCAACCATTCTCTCTCTCCTTTTCTGAGTTATTCCTCCTCCATTAACATAAACTTACTGCCCCCAAGGTTCCTATCTGATCTTTCCAGTTGCTGTTGTCTAAGTCTTAAAGATCTTGATAAGAATTTCAGAAAAAGAATATCCTTGTCATCTAGATATACAACCCACTCTGTCTCCCAACCCCCGACACCAAATCCCTGCAACACAAAGCTTAACCCGATAAAAGCCCATGGACAGATCGATTTATAGTTTACAAGGAGAATGTTGAGTATCTTGGATAAACGATGAAGCTAAAAGACTCTGTGAAAAGAGCAACAGGGTCTTGGGATGGAATGATCACATAATGAGCTACAAACATCACCAAAAGCTCAAAAAGTCTTTTTTCAGCAAAAGTTGCAAAGCTACAACTGGGTTAGAATCAACAGTCATGTGTTTCCTAAAAACTGAATCACATGCAGAAAGAATTAAATGCATTTTGATTCTGAAACATACAATTTCACTGACCTACTGGAAGGTGATTAGCATCTGCCAACCCTGAATTAAAGTTAAAATGAACTTTAAGTCAGATGTTAACTCATCAATTGCAAAGACTTCCCTGTAGAAACCTTCTGACTGGCAGCAAGTGGCCGAGAAATCTGAAGGTCAACAAAGTGGTGTGTGGTTCTGGAGGAGGACCGAGGGGTTTTTACATACCAAGGAAATGGAATGGAAAGAAGTTCCAGGGCACTCCAGAAGAGATTAAAAATAGGGTGGCTAGCCTTCCGAATATTTTTAGCCTATACTTTGAAAGTAGTGAAGAGGTTGATTTTAATAGCAAAAACTGACTGAAACTTACAAGTAAATTTTTCCATATAGCAACAAAATGTGAAGAAGTATGATCAATTAGTCTGTTCAGTTTTCTCATTAGATGATACATGCAGTCAACTGTAAAGTCACAGGATAGCTCCTTCCTGTGATGGCGCTTGTCCAGGCCCTGCTCTCCCCAGCTATGCTATGTGTGTTGAGCAAATGTGAATGAATTTTATTATTATCTGAAGTAAAACAGTGTCAAAAGCTAAGTGTCTGCAGTTCCCAAAATGATTAAATGTGTCAAAAATCAAACTGTACTGTTCAAATTTTATTTATGGTTTATAAAATGGTTCTCTTTACCATGCTAATAAGCTAGGACTGCATTTCTATCTTGCAGGAAATAAATCTGCAGATCTATGAATTCAGGGATACCTTCCATTCTGTGTTTTTGTTAAAAGGAGCCTTTGTTAATACTCTCTGTATATCATTCTACTTCTCACTTACCGATTATCTCGTTATCTGACATTTTGCATTTAAGACAATAGTAAAAAATTTACTATCCTACCACTTTGTGCATTAACAATGTACGTCTGGCAATAACGAATGCTGAGGTTTGAGGCGAGAGTAACGCTGACTTTGATGGTTAAGGTTATGTGTCAAGTTGGCTGGACCATGATTCTCAGTGGTTTGGCAATTATGTAATGATGTAATTTGGCAGTTATGTAATGAGGTAGTCATCTCCATTTTGTGATCTGATGTGGCCATCCTCCATTTTCACACAATGCCAATTTTTGCATAATGATCTGGTCTTTGGATCCCAACCATGCTGATAAGGGTGGAGTGGGTGTATAAAAATAAAAGGAGTCCATGGATGGTTCAAATGGTTAAGAGCTTGACTACTAACCAAAAGGTCAGCAGTTCAAACCAATCCAGAGGCGCCTCGGAAGACAGGCCTGGTGATCTGCTTCCAAAAGGCCACAGCCTTGAAAACCCCACGGAGCAGTTCTACTCTGCACACATGGGGTTGCCATGAGTTGGAATCAACTTGACGGCAACTAACAACACCACATAAAAGTAGCATTTTTTTTTTCCTAGTGCCATATATTTATCCCAGTGATTGAGCGGAAAAGAGAGGCTCCAAATCAAAATCATTTTGAAAAGTTAAACTTGGACCCCAGACACTGTTATTCTAAAATCAGGAGAAACCAAAAAGATCTAGGTCTCCAGTAATATGTAACCGTATCTTGAGCATTAAGTAGTACCTCCTCCTTCCTCAAATAGTTAAGAGTGCAAAGAACTGTTTCATGTACTTACACTGAGTCTTCTGGGTAGAGGTGGTTCGGAAGGATTGCAGAGCACATTTGAACAGGGTGGGCATTTGGTTTCATCTATCATCATGAAGGTATCGTAGACAGCATCCCCCAATCTGGTTGAAAGGATTACAGATAAAATCTGTCAGTAACTGAAGAATATAAATTTGTATTTCCAAAGCATCCCATGTCTTTAAACTGCTTCATATTTGCTACAAAGAAGAATTAACAGAAATAAACATCTATACTGCATTTTGGCATGGAATACAAACAACTGGGGTATTTGGCAGAGGAATAAAGGAAGCCCAGCTTGTCTGTGTTTTAAAGAAAGGATAGCATCTCTTGGTTTGTATTTTAAAATAGTTAAAACTGAGTCATTCTTTCTGAATGCTGTTAAACTATACCCGTTGCTGTGGAGTTGATTCTGGCTCAAAGCAACTCTATAGGACAGAGTAGAACTGCCCCATAGGGTTTCTAAAGCTGTAAATCTTCATGGAAGCAGACTGCCACATCTTTCTCCCATGGAGCAGCTGGTGGGTTCGACCCCACAACCTTTCAGTTAGCAGCCAAGCGCTTAACCACTGAGCCCCCTGTTAAACTATATGCAGCATGGCCGTTGAGTCAATTCTGACTCATACTAACTCTATAGGACAGAGTAGAACTGCCCCATAGGATTTCCAAGGCTGTAAATCTTTACAGAAGCAAACTGCTACATCTGCTACATCTTTCTCCTGCAGAGTGGCTGGTGAGTTCAAACTGCCGACCTTTTGGTTAGCAGCCAAGTGCTTTAACCAGTGTACCACCAGGGCTCCTATCGTTAAACTACAGAGACTATCAAAAGGATCTAATTTACTGCTTGAAAATAAAAGCTAGTTTGAATCTGGAACCCAAAAACTAACCAGAGACTTGGATTCCAATATCAGCTCCACCCCTGGCTGCACTGCCTTCTCCTCTGGGCCTCTTCCTTCCCACATGTTAAAATGGGAAGAATAGTTCAGCCTACACACTTCTGGGTGTTACAGGCAAGAAATAAAAGGCCTTTTGTGGGCTGTCTTCTATGTATTTATTTACTTACTTGTATCTATGTAACTTGTAGAAAAACACACTGAACACTAAAGCAAATAGGTAAGGGGTTCTCTAGGTTACAGAATGCACTGAACTGCACTTCTTTTCCCACTTCATTCTCTGGTGAGTGGTGGTAACAAAAAGCTAAATGATTTAGGATCATTTCTCTGTTCTTTAACACTGTGCCTTCACTGCAAGGGAACACAAAAGACAGACAGAGGATTTATTTACTCCACAAAATGGCCCTGAATAATGTATTTCATCTGCCACCAAGAATATGGATTTCCCAGTTATACACATCAGCATTTCATGGTATCATTTTACAAGATATACTATGAATACACTGTAACTATGTTGCAAGGGAAGAATTTTTTTTTAACGTCTTTTAAATATCCTGGAATATTTTAGTTGCCTTTAGAAACTGTTTTGTAAAATTAGTTCTAGAGTTTTCTTAATTAATGTGTTATAAGAATACAAAGGGTAAAAAAAAATGCCACTACACGTATTTTTGGAGCCTTCTCTTTTTTAAAACATGCTCCCATTCTGATGGAATTATTTCTGTCTTTAACAGGAAACTGCTTCACTGTCAAGAACCAAAGATTCTGGATGTGACTGACTCTGCCAAGAGCATGAATAAAACAAAACAAACCGGGGCAGGCGTTTACAGAGAAAAAGACACCAAAGACCTGCATAATTTCCTACGGACTGACTGCCGGAAGAAATTCACCAAAGGAAGTCTCCAGGTGAAGCGGGAACGGGGTCTCTGCTCCAGTGAACGTAAAATACAATGCACGATAGGGAATCTCTCAAAATAGAATCTGCAGAAACCCAAACCGGGCACAGCCGCTTACCTGCTTATCTGAAGCCGGACCGCACCCCCCACAGCAAAGCCCAAGGAGAGTTCAGCCCTTGGTTATCTGCTCTGAGCAACAGGGCTTCTTCCAAAGGTATTGCTCCCTGGCTGCCCCGGACCAAAAAACCCGTTGCCGTCGAGTCGATTCCGAGTCTGGCTGCCCCAGCTGGCTTAAAAAACCCACAAAAAGTACAAGCTTTTCGGAATCCCTTACCTTACACACCCGATCTAGAGCTGCAGAGATAATCCCAGGGGTGGAAATTCTTCCCCTAACTCCGCTCTAGCCCCCTCCCCCTCTCACCATGGGCTGGGGGAGGGGGGCTCACGGAGAGGATGGTGGGGGGTGATTCCGGGAAGAGGGTCAGACCCCTTCCCTCGCCCCTCCTAGGGAGGGCTCGCTCAGCCTCCAGCCTTCAGCCCAGGCCTCGCTGCCCAGCCTCGCCTGCCAGCGCCAGCCGCTCACGCCGGCGCCCCCAGCCCGCTGCCTCGCGGCGCCGTTACCTCCGCTGCTGGGGCGGGAGCCCGGCCCCCGGCGGCCCCGCATCCTTCCGCCCCGGCCCGCGAGCCGCGCCTCCCATCCACAAGCTCGAGACCCCCACGGGGGAGGGGCGGCGGTTGGTGGCTCCGGCGGGTCGCGTCCACCTGCGCTGGAAAGGCTGCTTCCAGGGCCGCGACACTTTCCCGGGGATTCTCAGCCAGACGCTGCAGCTCCGCGCGCCTTCGCTCCGGACTGGCCCGGGCCGGGAGGGGGAGACCGAGCGGCGGGGATGGGAGGGGGGAGGGAGGGCGGTCTGGCTGCCTAGCAACCGCGGCACGCCGCGGGAAACGCCTCTGCGCAGCGACGCGGTGACGCACCGGGGCAGGGCCGGCGACCTCGCCCCACCGTGCTGGCGCCGCGAGGTTGGCGGCCAAGCCGGTGGGCTGCGCGGCCGGGGTTCGTTGGTGTGGCGGGGTGCTGGGCCGCGGGGACGCGGCTGGGGGAGGGAGGAGTGGCACCGGCAGAGGATTTGTGAAAGTAGCCGTCAGCCCCGATTTCCACCTCGAAAGACCTCACGATCTATTTTCCCTTAAATAACACGTTGCTGCCTGGAGTTCTAAAATCTCCCTGGAACATATGTATTTTTTTTCAGCCTATCCCACTGCAGGGGCGGCCCTCCGGAGGATAAAGAATTATATAAGAAAGCAATAAAAATAAACTCTTTCATTGACACTGTACTAGCTCTTGCGAACAATGTCTTATTTCATCTCGGTAACCCTACCAGGTGACATCCCTATGTTGCAGATCAGAAAACAGGCTCAAAGAGATTTAACTAGGATCCAGAATTGAATCTGGGGTTTGTCTGATTCCTGCAACAGGATGCCACGGATGGTAGGGCTCAAAGAGCCTTTGAGGGCCCCTTCCAACTTCCCCATTTTACGGATAAGGAAACTGAGGCTTAGAGGGGACGTGCTTGCTCATGATCACGTGGCGAAGCCTGAACTAGAAGTGTTCAAACACCCAGCCTTCTTCTGCAGCACAGCCCCTTGGAAGCCTCTTCCTACTGTCCTGTATTTTTCCTTAGAATCTTTCCCCCGTTTCTGAAAAGTTAAGAGAGACACCCTGGTAACAGTAATGTTAAAGCGAATTTCGCTAGTTTGCACAAAAGTGAGCGAGAGGGAGGCTAAAACAGACGAACATAAGTGCTGTTTTCTTAAGTGAGGCATCCAGGCAGATTTTCTAAACCAGCAAAGCAGGCCGCTGTCTGACCCTCCAAATGAGAACCAAACGTTAAAATGCCGAACACTGGCGCCACCTGATGGAGCCTGGGTATTCATTGTCCCAAATTAGTGCTATAGCGTAGTCCCATAAATCTTAAAAAATTTCCATCCAAGTTTCCTTTTCCCGTGACTAAGAGTTATGTCCCCTGTTCTTATGCCTCCGAGTTAAAATGCCCCTAAATATTCTAATGCTCTTTACTTTTCTAAGTTAAGAATGTGAAGGTTTGGGAAACTTTATTCTTTATAATCCATGTTGTTTTAGCCTCTCTAAGGCATAAACATAAATAAATTTTCTTCCATATGATTTTTATAAAAATTTCTAATTTTATGAATAAGTGTTTTATTTTGTTTTTTGCCTTCCCCACCAAACACCTGTGGGTTTGTATTTGGTCACCTATAGAAGCTTTTACTTGAAGAAAGTTCCATGGCAACAAAAGACTGGGACCAGATTGTTGCTGAAGTCCCTTCCAGCTATAAGATTGCATAAGTCTATTAACTAGTCCCTGTTGGTAGTAGTCATGTGGACACCTCAGAGCACTTGACTGCCCTAACCCTCTAATGGAACTTGCCGCACACGTTTCCTTCCCTCATCCTGAATCACCGGTCTGAGAGGACCCCACCTCCGTCTGTTTAAAGCACATCTCCAAGAGCCAACCTGAAGCATTCCTGCTCCCCTTCTTGCCCCTGACGTGGGAAACACCGAGCCTCCTTTGTCTTTATTCTATTGTTCCCATGGTTCAGGGAGGGAGGAGTCCTTGATGGTTCAGGAGCCTCGAAAATCTCTGACTTTAGTGATCCAAGTACTTGCCTATGTTTCTTCAAAGAGCCCCAGTTTCAAAACAGTATGGCTGAGTTACGACCCAGTAAGGGATATAGCAATAGCTTCATACCCCAGCTGAGCTGCTGCCCTGTGCCCGTCAGCCCTTAAGCAGCTTCCCCACCATTCATTTCTTCCCCTCCAAAGCCCCACATAAGGGTTGTTCAAAGTCATCATTATCTTTCTCCATCCAGTTAAAGCCAGATTTATCCACCATAGATTAGCCAGAAATTCAGAGGGAACTCTTGTCTGTCCTTTGAGGCCAGTTCTAACACATTTGCAAAATAAGGAACCTGTAACAAACAAACAAAAAATAGAACTGTTCAAGGATCTTCAAAAACCATGGAAACACCAGAATGGAATCACAGCAGTTGCAAAGGCCTAGATAATGAAAATATCCATGGCCCCATGCATCTGGAAATTTGTCATGAAACAGTTGTTGGTGGGTTAGGTTACATTTTAAATTGTTTCATTGCTATAAATTCTTCTTTACAGCAGATGTGCCATACTGCATACTATCACAAAATTGCATTTTTTAAAAAATCATTTGGCGAAAACCCATGCAACTCACCCTTTTCCCCAAGCTCTATTGACCTCAAATTCACCTGAGCTTCAGAAACAAGTACCTGCTATTTTGTCAGAAACACACACATCCAGGTCAGTCATGTCACTGAAACACTAAGACCATGTCTTATTTTTCTGGAGCCTCAGAAAAATCTCTCTTTTGAACCTCAGACTCTTCCTGTTCTTACCCCTGAACTTTAAAAGAAGCCCCTATTAACGCTTGTGAATCTCCAAAATACCAACAGAACCAATAGAAGCTCTGCCCTTGGGCCTCCTCCCATATGATACACAAAAACTCTGTGTCTCTTAAGGTTGCCCTTATTAATACCAAATCCCAGAAACATTTTCCTTTTCTCGTCATCCTGAGTCAGCATGATCAGTTCCAGCTACAGCTCCTGAGGAGCCATCTGAAACTATATTTCTGAAGTCTTAAAACCTAACTTAAAATCTTACCATCAATACTGTTACGGATTGGAATTGTATCCCTCAAAAATATGTGTTTTAAATCCTAACCTCTATGCCTGTGGTTATAATCCCATTTGGGAATGTATTATGTTTTTATGTCAATTCGGCAGGATTAGTGTAAGATGTATCTTGAGTCAATATCTTTTGAAATATAAAGAGATTAAACAAACAAGCCAGTAAGGAGAGATGAGGTAATGTCATGGATTGAATTGTGTCCCTCAAAAATATGTGTATCAATTTGGCTAAGCTGTGATTCCCAGTATTGTGTGATTGTGTACCATTTTTTCATCTGATATGATTTTCCTATATGTTGTAAATCCTACCTCTATGATGTTACTGATGTAGGATAGGCGGCAGTTATGTTAATGAGGAAGGACTCAATCTATAAGATTGGTTTGTGTTTTGAGCCAATCTCTTTTGAGATATAAAAGAGAGAAGCAAGCAGAGAAACGGGGACCTCATACCACCAAGAAAGCAGTGTCTGGAGCAGAGCATGTCCTTTGGACCCAGGGTTCCAGTGAAGAGAAGCTCCTAGTCCAGGGGAAGATTGATGACAAGGACCTTCCTCCAGAGCCGACAGAGAACGCCTTCCCCTAGAGCTGACACCCTGAATTTGGACTTCCAGCCTCCTAGACTGTGAGAGAATATACTTCTGTTTGTTAAAGTCACCCACTTGTGGTATTTCTGTTACAGCAGCACTAGATGACTAAGACAGGTAAGATAGATACCATGACTCATGGAGATCTCCAAGGAACCAGGAAACTGAAGGTAAAGAGACAAGGACCTTCCCCCAGAGCTGATAGAGAGAAAGCCTTCCCATGGAGCTGGTGCCCTGAAGTCGGACTTCCAGCTTCCTTAACTGTGAGAAGATAAATTTGTCTTTGTTAAAGCAATTCTCTTGTAGTATTCTGTTATAGCAGCACTAGATAACAGACAATTACCATTTGTTGATTGTTTACTATGTGCCAGACACCACCGGAAGTGTCTTACATTTTTTTCTTATTTAAAACTCACAACAGTCCTGTGAAATAGGTATTATTCCCATCTTGCACTTCAGAAAGCAGTCTCAGAGATTAAGTACTTGCCAAGGTCACCCAGCTGGTAAAGGGTGAACTGGAATTCAAATCCTGGTCTGTTTGATTCTAAAACCCAGTCCCTTGCATGCCTGTATGTTGTTGTTGTTATGTGCCGTCGAGTCGGTTCCGACTCATAGCGACAACAGAACGAAACACTGCGCAGTCCTGCGCCTTCCTCACAATCATTGTTCCGCTTGAGCCCCTTGTTGCAGCCACTGTGTTAATCCATCTCGTTGAGGGTCTTCCTCTTCTTCACAGACCCTCTGCTTTACCAAGCGTGATGTCCTTCTCCAGGGACTGATCCCTCCTGATAACACATCCAAAGTATGTAAGACGTACTCTCGCCTTCCTTGCTTCTAAGGAGCATTCTGGTTGTACTTCTTCCAAGACAGATTTGTTCATTCTTCTGGAAGTCCATGGTATATTCAATATTCTTTGCCAACACCATAATTCAAAGGCATCAATTCTTTTTCAGTCTTCCTTATTCATTGTCCAGCTTTCACATGCATATGAGGCAATTGAAAACACCGAGGCTTGGGTCAGGTGCACCTTAGTCTTCAAGGTGACATGTTTGCTTTTGCACATAAAAAAGAGGTCTTTTGCAGCAGATTTGCCCAATGCAACGTGCTTTTGATTTCTTCACTGCTGCTTCCATGGGTGTTGATTGAGCATCCAAGTGAAATGAAATTCTTGACATCTTCAATCTTTTCTCCGTTTATCATGATGTTGCTTATTGGTCCAGTTGTGAGGATTTTTATTTTCTTTATGTTGAGGTGTAATTCATACTGAAGGCTGTGGTCTTTGGTCTTTATCGGTAAGTGCTTCAAGTCCTCCTCACTTTCAGCAAGCAAGGTTGTATCATCTGCATAACGCAGGTTGTTAATGAGTCTTCTCCATATAGTCCGTCTTCTCAGATTATTTGCTCAGCATACAGATTGAATAGGTATAGTGAAAGGATATAACCCTGGCTCACACCTTTCCTGACTGTAAACCACGATATCTCCTTGTTCTGTTCAAACAACTGCCTCTTGATCTATGCACAGGTTCCTCATGAGCACAATTA